GGAGGAGATTTAAATGGCTCCATGCAGTGCAAGTGACCCCGAGCGTGGTGACTGGGGCAGGGAAACGGGACGTGGAGCAGCAGGAGGATGTGTAGGAGGGCATAGCCACCTTCCCAGCTCCTGGGGTGAGCTCACCTCCTGTGGAGATTGTTTTTTTCACTTGTCCAACTTTATTAGACCCAGCAGTAGGGGGTCACTGAACAAAAGCCATTGCTGGCAGGAGCAGGGAGACCCAGACAGAGCTCCCTGAGAAACACACAGCTGTCCAGGTCTCTGGCTGCAGTGTCTGAGCCTGGAGGACYGTGGAAATGATGCCTACATGTGATGTGAACAGGTGGAGGATCCTAAAAAGGAGGTGGAGAGGCTGAGGAGTATCAGGGAGTGCGAAGGAGAAATAGACTGGTGGAGTTGCACTCTTCCAATCCAGCCATCCAGGAGAGAAATGCAGTAGATGGAAGCTCAGCAAGAGTTAAGAGTAGCCCCGASCCTCTTGCCATCAGGGAGGGGGTGACCTAAAAGCTGGGGAATGGAAATATGTCCATGCTTGGGAAGGTAGAGGAATCCCCTCCTGGCTTCCCTCGCCTTCCCAGGTGCCCTTACAGGACAGATACGAAGTCCTGGAGGGTCAGGCAGAAGAGAGTGGAGAAGAAGGTCTGCCTGGAGGGTCTTCCAGATCAGTGCAGTCAATCAGAGAGATCACAACTACAGGTATTAAGAAAAAAACAAGGGTAGTTGTAGTGGTGACTCACTTCTGAGGGGAACTGAAGACCTTGTATGCCAACCAGACCCATCCCACAGGGAAGTCTGCTACCTCCCTGGGGTCCAGGGARCAGAACTGCTGGGAGACTCCTTGGACTAATTCAGCCCACCAATTGCTGCCCGCGGCTTGTTGTCCACGTTGGTGGGGACGAGGTTGATGGGAAAAGTACCAGGGTAACAAAAAAGAACTTCAAAGCACTGGATTGCCTGCTTGAAGGCACAAGAGCACAGGTGGTGTTCTTGATTCCTTTGGTAGTAGGGATGAATGCCAAAATGAACAGCAAATCCATGGGATCAAAAAGTGGCTTAAAGACTGGTGCCATTGGTAGTATTTTGATTTCTTTGATCATGAGGTGGTTTGTACTGCACCAGGCTGGAGACAGATGGGGTTCACCTCTCTAGAAGAGGCAAAAGGATTCTGACCTGTGATTGAGAGGGCTTTAAACTAGGTTTGAAGGGAGAAGGGGATGAGACCACGCTCACTAGAGATGAACCTGGGGACAGCAGGCCAGTGCTGGGGAGAAATTCATAGCCTAGCTAAAGTGCATCTACACCAATGCGGCAGTGTGGGCCACACACAGGAGGAGCTGGAGGCCATCGTGGAGCAGCAAAATGCTGATATAGTTCCCGTCATGGAACTATGATGGGATGGCTCCATGGCTGGAATGCTGCAATGGATGGCTCCAAGCTCTTCAGAAGGGACAGGCGAGGAAGGAGAGGTGGTGTGATGAGTTTATTTTAGGGGGTGTTTTAACTGTCTTGAGCTTAGTGACAGTGATGACAATTGGCTGGTCATGGATGAGAATTGGGGAAGGCTGGTAAGGCGGATATYTTAGTGGGAGTCTGTTCTATACCCCCCAACCAGTGATGAAGAGGTTTTGATAAAGTGCTGGCTGATGTCTCATGGTTGCCAGCCCTTGTTCTTGTGGCAGTCTTTAGCCTGCTGGATGTCTGCTGGAAACAACACAGTGGAGAGGAAAGGATCTGGGAGGTTCGTGGAATGTGTGGAAGAGGACTTCTGACACAGTAGGTGAGCAGCCGACCAAAGGTGGGGCCCTGCTGTTTGCAGACTGAGAGAGGCTGCTGGGGAGATGTGCTGGGCACAGGGACAATGAAATGATAGAGTTTTCAATTCTTGATGAAATAACAAGGTGTGTCAATAAAACCTCTACCATGGACTTTCAGAGGGACACTGGTTTGCAAAGTCCCTTGGGAAGCAGGCTTTAAAAACAATGCCAGGAAGGCTGGTATTGGAAGGGGCTGCCCCGTGGAGTCCCAGTCCCCAGAGGTGTCCAAAGAATGACTGAATGTAGCACTCAGTGCTCTGATCGGCTTGACAAGATGACCTGGCACAGGTTGGACTCAGTGTTCTGAGAGGGCTTTTCCAATGTAATTGATTCCATGGTTCTCTGTCATTTTGTAATTTGGGATATTTATATAGATGGATGGGATCCTCTCTCAGAGATTTCTGTGGATTGACGGGGTATTTGTATGGATTGATGGAATTGCCTCTCAGCCTTCTCCAGACTAACCAGGCCCAGCTCCTGCAGTCTCTCCTCATCACAGATATGCTTTAGACCCTGAATCATCTTTGTGGCCTCCTTGACCCTCTCCAGCAGCACTTTGTCTTTCCTGAGTTGTGGAGCCCAGAACTGAACGCAACAGTCCAGGTATGGCCTCACCTGGGCAGGGCAGAGGGGCAGGATCACCCCCCGACCTGCTGGCCATGCTCTGTCCAACACCCCTGTGATGTCCACCTGAAGGGGAAGGGAGAACCTGGGATCAGAGATGTGCAGGAAGAATTTAATATCTTTGTTAAGTGACTAGGATGAAGGAAGGGAGGGAGGGAGGGCACCCTCAGCAGCTTTGCAGGTGACACCAAGCTGAGTGGAGCAGGTCCCCCCCTGAGCGATCTGGACAGAATCAAGTGGTGGCCCATGGGAACCTCATTAAGTTTGACAAAACCAAGTGCRGATGCTGCACCTGGTGGAACCTCTGTAATCAACCCGGACTGGGAAGGAGCAGATGGAGCAGCCCTGGGAGAAGGACTTGCGGGTGCTGGTGGGTGGGGGCTGGACACGACCCAACCCAGAACCCCCCTGTCCTGGCCTCATCCCATAGYGTGGGCAGCGGGGGAGGAGGGGATTCTCACAGATTGTGTTGTGAGGGAGATCAGGTGTGCTAACTGCCTTCTATCTAGAGAGCAGCAACTGTATTCTCCCCTATAGTTTCATATTGTTATCTTTTTACCCTCAGCCATCTTCCCACAAAATACTTCAAGAAATTACAGAGGACAAAACGGAAACTTAAATTTCTTGAGGTATTTAATCAGTCAGACGYCTTTATGAAATTGATGTAAATAAACATACGTAAAAAGGTGAATGTAGGTGAACTAGCAGAGCACTGATATTTTACAGCAAGGATCACAACATTTAAAATATTCATTTAGGGTGGGAAGAAGGGCACGACAGGCTGAGAGAGTTATGGTTGATCAGCCTGGAGAACAGAACACTCCCAGGAGACTTTGGTGCCCCTTCCAGTACTTAATGGGGGCTTACAAGGGGGCTGGAGAGGTACTTTGGACAAGAGCATGTAGTGATAGGACACAGGGAAAATGGCCTTAAACTGCAGAAGGGCGGGTTTAAATTAAGCTTTAGGACGGAATTG